ATATATATATATATATATATATATATATATATATATATATATATATATATATATATATCTTTTTGAGGAGAGAGCTCTGGATAGCCCTGGAAACTAGTCTCCCAGCAGGTCTGTGTTAGCCTGTCAGAGGATGTAAGCCAAGCCCTTAAGTGTCTCTTTCATTCTTGTTTCTAACAAGGCCAATTCCTGAGCCAGAGCCTATGTTATTTCATAGTTTCATAGATGTCCCTTGTCCCCAGCCAATAGGTGGAATATTATAGGCTTGAGTGTGTACAGTCTAGCTATACTCGGTCCAAACTTACTTTGTGATGGGGTGATGAGTTGAAGGGATTGTGTGTGCTCAACTTCTTCTCTGGAGGTCTTTCCTCAATAAACCCTAGATCATATAGGCCCTGCGGCTCCCTTAGAAATTCACATACAGCCAGGCACAGTGGCAAATGCCTGTAATCCCCTCACTTTGGGAGGCTGAGGTGGGAAGATTGCTTGAGCCCAGGAGTTCGAGACCAGCCTGGGCAACATAGTGAGGTCTCGTCTCTACAAAAAAACTTAAAAATTAGCCGTGTGTGGTGACACAGGCCTGTAGTCCCAGCTACTCAGAAGGCTGAGATGGATCACCTGAGCCCAGGAGGTTGAGGCTGCAGTGAGCTGTGACTGCACCACCGCACTCCAGTCTGGGTCACAGAGTGAAACCCCGATTCAAAAGAAAGGAAGGAAAGAGGGGGCAGGGAAGGAAGGAAGTTTACATACAACTGACTTGTCGTATTGGGGAGCAGTCAAGTTGAGCACTTAAGAGTTGACCTAATTTGCAGGCTGTTTATCGTATTTAAGATTATCTCTCCACGTTAAGAATTATTTAATTGAAACCATGCCAAGGAGCAGAAAGAAGGGTAAATATTCAGGTGTGTGTGTATGGAGAGGGGAATGAAGTATACGATTGTCTGTACTCGTGTCTTTTTGCCTCTGCTTCTCTATAGTCTTGTTTTAAAAACAAAATAAAGCTCTCAGTGTGTCTGCTCTCAGGATGTTTTTAAAGATGCTACTTGACATTGCATGACACAGTAAACTCTGTATGAAGAGTCTTGAGAGTAATTTATTTCTGATCTAGAACTCAAGAATAAATATGATTCCCTTGAGTTACTTGGGTTTTCATCTTAGGGACAATGAGTATGTCTTTAAGAACTGCTTGTTAGAATGCTTACACCCATATAATAGCAAGGGTTTATGTGTTCATAACTCCTTGTGACACTCCTATCCTTATTTTTTCTTTACCTTTTTCATCTACTTCAAATTTGTCATCATTGTTATGCTTATCTCTATAAACCTCCAGAAATGTTTTTTTTTGGAAAAGGTATCTCGCAATTCAAATAAGTAAATGTATTATCTCAGGCCAGCAAAAACCAGTTTGACTAGCTTCTTTTTTTTTCCTTTCCAGATTGAGATGCTGCCAGATGGGCTGTTTCAGTGCAAAAAGCTGCAGTGTTTACTTTTAGGGAAAAATAGCTTGATGAATTTGTCCCCTCACGTGGGTGAGCTGTCGAACCTTACTCATCTGGAGCTCATTGGCAATTACCTGGAAGCACTCCCCCCTGAACTGGAAGGCTGTCAGTCCCTAAAACGGAGCTGTCTGATTGTCGAGGAGAATTTGCTCAATACTCTTCCTCTCCCTGTAACAGAACGTTTGCAGACGTGCTTAGACAAATGTTGACCTAAAGCAAAGAGACCTACGTTTAAAAATTATTTTTAAGGTGTGTTTCAGGGCTTTAAATGAAAAGCAAAATGTTCTAAGTTATAAAGATGAAAAATGGGTGGTGATTCTGATGAACCGTAACTAAATGTCTTATTAAAGCAACTCAGTGTCTAACCCTAAATTAAACAGGTAAAAAAATGTTAACACTAACCTGAACTTTTGAAAATAATTGTTCTTTAACTTATTGAAATGCTGTAAGAATGCACATCGAGGGTGGAATGGGGGCCTGAAATTACTTGTAGGTTTTACCTTGGAGGTTGTGGAAATAGTCTCTCCTCTCCCTCCCCAGCCCTCCTTACTTATTTGCACATTTGTTTTAACTGACTTCCTGTTTTGGTATTTATCACCAAGATCACAAACTCGTCAATATAAATTATCTTATTGTGTACTCACCCCTGTCTTTGATTTATGTTCTTAAATTTTTTTAGGCAGGAGCTATTGTGCTTGGCAGTATTCCTTTTTGGATTAATTTTTACTTCCTTTTTGAGCTTGCTTTAGTCTTCCTTAATCTGATTTTCTCTTAACAACAATGATTAACCCTGCGAAAATGCCTGCATTTGGCCTTTGCCTAGAACAGGAGCAGGGTACTTAAGCCGTGTTATGCTCGGGATATCCTGAAAGTTAATGTATTCTCTAAAATGTCTTGTCTATCATCAAAGCCTTTTTTAAATTTGTTAAGAATTTTTATATGAAATGTAAAACATATCAATATTTTTTATTGTATAATCTTGGATTCAACATCTGTGAGGATAATTGTTGTAGGGTACATAGAGCATATGCATTTCTTTAAGAACGTCCTGATAGTGTACTTGGTTTGGGCTGTTTGTGATTCTCATGTTTGTGTACATTCTGCTCCAAAATGTTCTTGTACTCTGCAACTAATTTCTTGGATAACAAAAGCCTTGTGTTTAATGCCCTAAAGTATTTGGGGATTTCCTTGTGAGAGGGTGGCCTAATCACATCTACCTCTCTCTTCCCTGGTCACTGTACAGTCGTATGGGTACGTTTCTTAATTACTTACACAAACTGTGATGGGGGGGGGGAAGGTATGGATTTGGTTTGTAAATTGATTTTAAGATACTTTGTAGAAATGTAGTAAGAATAAGACCAGGCGTGGTGGCTTACGCCTGTAATCCTAGCATTTTGAGAGATGGAGACAAGAGGATTGCCTGAGCCGGGGTTTGAGACCTGCCTGGACAACTTGGTGAGACCTTGTCTCTACAACAAATAAGAAAAATTAACTAGGTGTGTTGGCACATGCCTGTAGTTCCAGCTACTTGGAAGGCTGAAGTGGAAAGATCGCCTGAGCCCAGCAGGTCAAGGCTGTGGTGGCCATGAGTGTGCCACTGCTCTCCAGCCTGGGTGACAGAGTGAGATTCTAACTCAAAAAACAACAACAAAAAAAGAAATTGAGTAAGAGTTAATGCAAAATACCTTTTCTTCCCTTCCATCTTCATAGTTTCTAGTTATGATTGTAACGTAAAACACTGAGCCTCTGTTCAGTGTCTAAGAGGAATTATCCAAGCCCTCAAAAACATAGATCCATTTACCTAAAGTTCATCTCCTGGCTTAATCTAAGTCTTCAAGCAAATACGTTTTGCGTCTTTTTATAGAACTTTGTTTTTGGCCTTTTATTATTGTGGTGTTGTTAAATGAGCAAAATTAATTGACTCCTTTTTAGGAAATGTATATTTTCAACATGTTTTTCCCTCATGGTTCTAGGCATTATAATGTCACCTCCTCATTTTGCATATAACTATAAAGAACTCTATTAACTGCACCTAGACAAAACTGGAAAACACTTTGGGGCAAAGAGTATATGTATATGGAATTGTGGTGTGTGGTATATGTTTTATCTTGCTTTGTTCCAGAAAGATGAAAGTAAGTCTTTAAAGGGTAGCAAATGCAGCTTCCTCACCTACCACACACCCCTGCACTGAAGTTCAGAGTAAAGAATTATTCACATCAAAGGCATTTTGAATAATATTGGCTGTAAGTAATATAGAACAACAAACGCTGCCTAACACATCTTTGTGTGTTCTGAATGGGAAGGAACAGTGTAAAAATATACTACTTACCAAAACTTGCCTTTAGTTAGGACATTCAAGCTCTCAGGGAACCAGGTATAACTGATGAAACTTTCTTCTAGGACTTCAGGAAACAGATTCTGATTATATCCATGTTATGTTGTTGTTGTTATTTTCTTTTTCTTTTAATGTGAGTTAATGATTACTTCACAATAGAAATACTATGTACACTAATTCCAGTGTCATATAAGATTATGTTTTGGACATGAATGTGATACATGAAGAAGTGTATAAATGTTTTTGGCCACATAATTAGCTAGAATGTGTGTGAAGAATCCCATCCTCTTTTATGTAAAACATTTTCAAAAGCAAAATTCAGATTTGCTGCCATTCACCTGACAAACTAGAACTTCTCCGTGGCTATTCACTTGTTTGGTTCAACTGTAAAAGTCATTGGCTAAGTTTTCTTATTACCTACATAAATTCCTAGGAGCAGTGTACTGGCAGGATTAGTAAAGAATATTGTAAGCTATTTTCCATGCACTAGGGTATAATTACTGGTGCAAACTATATTGCTCTTGGTGCCATAGTTTTAATTTTTTTTTATTTAAAGCTTATATGAGGGAAACCAAAAAAAAAACCCTGGAATTTATTTTTTTAAATATGTATTCTTAGATTTTTAAATTTCAGTCGCCTTCAAAGTGCGCTCCATTTGATGCACTGTACCTATCAGGATGCTTTTTCCACTGCTCAAAACACTTTGAACTCATCAATTTTGATGCCTTTTAGTACTTCTGCCATTTTTTGTTTACTCTCTTCCTCATTGGCAAAACATTTCCATTTGAGGACTTTTATCAGCAGGAGAAACAAAACAAAAATGTCACTTGGGGGAAAATTGGGTTAATAGGGAGGGTGGAGCATGGGGCACAGGCCATTTTAGGTCAAAAACTGCAGAACACTCAGCATGGTATGAGCAGGTGCATTGTCATGGTGGAAGAACTAGTCACCTGTTTGCCACAAAAAATTTCACTGAAGCTGAACGCAGCCTCTCACAACACTGATGCCAAGGTGTTTCTAGAATACTTATCTAGTGGGGGAAACCTGTACTATAAAGGGTCCAACCTCCAAAAGATAATTCCTGGTTTTTTGGGTACCCCTCATGCACCAGTGTTTAGATAGCTTTTGAAACAGGATAGCACTGACGCAAGGAACAGTGAGACTACCACTCAATGTAAAAAAATGTGGTAATAATACCTACTTTTCTGCACTGTTGGGGCAGATCTTTATTTCACATGTGTTCATGAGACATGTGTTTAAGAGACATTTAAATGAAGCAAATTAAGTTTGTTAAATTATAACTGGGACTTTGGCTGGCATTTGATTTCCAAGAATGTATATGCATTTTTCAAAAAATAAATACAGAGGTTATTCAGAACAAAGCTCATGTTTTATGGCAGCAATGGCATGGGTTCATTTCATTTGTACTCAAACACACACACACATACACACACGTTCACATACACACGTGCTTCATGTATGCAAATGTAGCTTACTAGTTTTTGACACGTTTAGTATTTTTTCCAAAATTGCAAGAGATTGAAGGTTAGTACTAGGTTAGCAGTTTTTTTTTTTAATTGATGAATCATGGAGTGCTCTATTCCCTTAGTTATAACATTTAAAAGAAAAGCAAATGCTTAACATTGGTCTGAGAACTAAGTGTTTTTGAGCACTTCTGTAAAGGTGTAGTGTTCTTTCCCTAACCCACATCAGGCTACATCTGTGTGGCACATAAATAGTGTATTTTTATTCTTCATTTTTAATTTTTTTCTGTCCTGTGTGTCACCATATTTCACTGTCACTTAACAAACATGTTAAACAGGGTAAACAGAGATCCTGAAGGTCTCCACGCTGTGGCAGAGCTCTGACAGGTGTGCTGCAGTGGTCGATTTGCATAACACTGACCGTGAAAATATTTTTTTTTCTGTTCTTCAGGTGTTTTATTTAAATTTTATGTTTTGTTAAAACACTGCATAATATTGATGGGTTAGGAAACCATGCTCATGCTTGTAATCCCAGCACTTTGGGAGGCGGGGCCGAGAGGATTGCCTCAGCCCAGTGGTTCGAGACCAGCCTGGGCCACTTGGCGAGCTCTCTTCTCTACAGTAAATAAGATTATCCGCGCATGGTGATATGCACCTGTAGTTCCAGCTACTTGGAAGGCTAAGGTGGAAGAATCACCTGAGCCCAATGGGTTGAGGCTGTGGTGGTTGCATTCCAGCCTGGGCGACAGAAGAGACTCCAACTCAAAAAATAAATAATTATTCATTCGGTGGACTTAACATTTTTTTCCTTGGGTTTTCAAGAAAATTTTGTTTCATCTTTCCATCTTTTCATTCTTTTAGCATTGTCCTATCCACATAAAGTATTTTTTGTTTTCCTTCTTCACTCACCCACCCCATTAAATTTGATCGGCACTGTATAATCACAGAATATACTTATGCTAGAAAATACAGTGATACTTGAGCATGTATTTACCTGGGGGGAAGCCAGGACCTGTACTTACACCTAATTGAGTAGTTCTACTTCACCCATCCCTGCAGTATTTAGAGCTGATCCTAAAATTTTTCATCTCTACCAGAAAGCATGAAATTATAACCATAGATCCCCTTTGTTTTCAGTAACTGTGCATTGCATCAGAATCTGTGTTTAATTTCTCTCCAGAAGCAGAGAAAGACTGGTGGGAGAAAGGGAGGAGTTATTTTGCATCCTGGTTTGTATTATGAAGACATTAAATATATAAAATGGTGTAAACTAATAACTGTGCAGAATGCCCTGGATATGATTGTTTCTTATAGTCGGATGTGAAGAGTTGAAGCAGTGGGGGAAAAAAACTGCAGTCCTATTTAATTGGTTTCCTCCTGTTTCTTGTCCATCATGTCTGCATCTACTGGGAGCTATCTGCTAAGTACCTTTGGTAACAGACTACATTCTCTTCCAAATTTAGTATATGATCAACTTCATCAGCACTAAAGCATTAACATAGAATATATGAGCCAGCGTACTGAGTTGCGATGGCTTTCAGTTGAACTTAATTTCGTATTTAACTTTTGCATTTGACTTGTATAATACACTACTGCTGAGAAAAACAATTATGAATGCTTTCTGCATGTTACACATTATCTCCGACAGAGATGGTGCAATTTTAAGAATACAAAGGAATATAGAGTTAGAATGGGTGTGTTTGTGCATCTATATATCTATGTATGTTGTGTATAAGCCTAAAATATTAACGTTTACAAGAAGATTTTTAAAATTCTTCTGATGTTTCCCACTCAGTGAAATAGCGGGCCAATCTTGGGTAGAGACATTTCTTTTGTTAGTTCAGAGGAAAGATTGGTATTTGTTATTTTATCTTTGTCACATATTCAAAACATGTCCAATGGGGTTTTGCTTCTGGTAATGAGTTATTGAAAAACTTAAGATTCTGTTCAATGTTTTTTGGCCCTCAGGTTTACCGTGTAAATCTGCATTTTGGTGGTAAATTCCTTTGCCTCAGATTCAGTAGGTTTTTGGTAAATGTTACCGTTTTTAAAGTACCTTTTATGTAAAAATAAAGATTCAATTTTTATAATAAATGACAAATAAAAACAGATTACATGCTGGAAGAAGTTGACTGTACTAATTTTTATCTGTGTTCACTAATTAGTACCCCAGTTTCAGAAGTGATTCCCTTCCTTGGCCAGTACCCCCTCCCACAGTTGTACTGTTCTGTGATTCACCAAATGATGGATTTTAGATTGACACATGAATCTCATGACAGCAGTGAGTTTTCAAAATAATGCTGCCATGGTCACAACATAGCAAGCACCTGAAAAGTGGATTGATCCTAGGAATCACAGGAGATGGGGACGGATCTCTCAAGACAGGCTCATCTTTCCCATGGTGTTCCTTCTTGGAATGATTCAGGGACAGGTGTTCACAAACCAACTCATCTCTCTCCCTCCTTTTTGATGCCTGTTTCTCCATTTACTGACAGTTTAACACTAATAATGGCCGGGCTCAGTAACTCACACCTGTAATCCCAGCATTTTGAGAGACAGAAGTGAGAGAACTGCCTGAGCCCACGGGTTCAAGACCAGCCTGGATAAC